ACACCAAATACACAAAATAATGTTCTTTTTAGCAACAACATATGAACCCTTTAAAGTATTAGATCATGTCCAGAATAAAAATCTCCTGATGATTTACTCGCCCCCATGTCATCCAAGATGTTCATGTCTTTCTGTCATCAGTCGAGAAAAGAAATTAACTGTTCAGACCGACAGTGATAGAAGCTCCTGAACATCACTCATTATCAGTGAGCGTCTGGCGACTGTTGAGTGAGTGATTTAGTGCGAAATACAGCGTCTTCCATGACTGAGGTCTCAGGAGCAGCTAGTCATTAAAACGGCTGCTCATTTATCAGCTGCTCGTTAAAACAGTTTCATGTGTTTCTTTATAGGATCGTGTGGAACTCGCGCCCCTCATATGAGGCCCATGTACCCGTCCAAAACATTCCCGAACCTCTACACGCTGGCCACGGTACCAAACACACTTCACAGCACAGCAGACAGATTCACTCAGCGCACTCAGATATAACTGAGAGATCACTGCTCTAATCATGAATCCGATCATCTGAAGCACAACATGTCAAATTCCTGCATGCTACGGACTGTATCTGGAGAGTTAACGTTGAAATGAAGGCTTTTAATGTATTTTTGCACAAGATGAATATGTAAATTATGTTATGTTGAGAAGAAATGTAAGATTATTTAAACTAGACTATTGATATATAACATGATAACTTGCCTAAACAAAATTGAGCCTTTTTATGAACATTGGGATTTCAAATTCTGACAGTTCAAAATGAAATACAAATATTTTAAGTATCACAGTATTTTTTAGTTGTACTGCAGTACTGAGAAACTAATGAAATTCACATAATTTCTAATCTTTTTGTTAATTTTTTACTCTATTTTACTATTTGTGTACCATTTATAGCGTGACTGTTATTCAATTATATATATATATATATACTGTATATATATATTAGTGGGCTCAAACCAAATACATTCATCATACAGTACACTGTAAAAAAAATTTTTATTTTTAACCTTACAAACGTTTGAGTATGCTTTAAAAGAAAAGAAAATACAAGCAAAAAAAGCTGTTAAATATCCGCACCAAATATGTTTGTAAATAGAATACTTTGATGCATACGCTTAAAAAAAATTACAACAAAAAAAATCTTATGAAATGCTTTTGTTTAGAGGCCAATTTTGATGTATGGAAATTTTCTACGATTATGTGTGCGAGCATCTCGTCTTGCTGGACTTTCAGTTTTTCTACTCCAAAATTTCACATTTAATTTAATGTGTTACTTGCCACTTCTTTGTGAAATATAATAGTGGTTTCTGAGTGAAAATAGTTTTTACACCTGATTCTTGTATGTGAGCACTCGATTTGCTCTTATGATGTGATTTAACTGAACTGGTTGGTGTTTTCTGGTGTTCCTCCTCAGGGTTTGTATCCCGAGTCTCACGGGATCGTGTGTAACTCCATGTATGATCCCATGTTCAAAGCTCATTTCAGACTGAAAGGACAAGAGAAGCTCACTCACCGCTGGTGGGGCGGGCAGCCCGTGAGTCATGACTCCGCCCACACATGGCCCTCAGCCAATCACAGACGAGACGCTTTACATAAGCTTTATAATGTCGTACGGCATAAATGTGATTCTGTACTTGTGGTCCAGATTCTGTACAGGTTTTACATGGGAACACTAAACTAATCATCAAGCTCCGTTTGGGTTTGGATGGAAAGTCTAGTTTGAAGTGGGTTCGTGTTTAATAATTTAGACCGTTTTTGTCTGTTTGTTGTCTCAGGTTTGGATCACAGCAGAGAAGCAGGGCGTGAAAGCTGGGACGTTCTTCTGGCCCCGGTGAGCAGAGATGTCAGTCCAAATGTGCTGAATGTCCCAAATAAAGCGCTCGCAATCACACTTAGCAGGATTATTCATTTATCTGCTTCGTTTGATTGGTTTCAGATCTTAAATGTTTATGTTCTACTGCTGTTTCTCAGCAGAGTGGAGGTTTTCTTCTAAAATCAGCATTCAGTGTTTGGAGCAAAGCTCAGAGTGTCACGCCGAGAGACTCATGACACAAACAACACATGATTCAAACAAAGACCTTTCTCACACACACACTGGTCATTCAGAGCGGCTCAGACTGTCCCGATGTTCATGTTCTTCCCTGAAGAGCTTCATTCGCATGAGTTGTGAGGACGTGACCAGTGGCCCGTGAAGAAGAGCTCTGACGTCTGTGTGACATTGTTTGTGAGGGGCTGAATGAACCCGTCTGTCTGTCTCTCTGTCTGTAGGGTGATTCCTCTGGAGCGGAGGATCCTCACTACCCTGCAGTGGCTGCAGCTGCCTGATGACGAGAGGTGCGTCATGTGACTACTAATGGGAAAACAAAACATTCTTATGAGGGACAGTTAAGCCCTGCGTATTCATTACTGGAATGCAACCTTCACTTCAAGAATGATAACTATAGTCATAACGATTACTATAGTGATTATGATTACTATAATGATAACTATCGTGAAAACTTTAACGATTACTATAGTGATTACTATAATGATAACTATCGTGAAAACTTTAACGATTACTATAGTGATTACTATAATGATAACTATCGTGAAAACTTTAATGATTACTATAGTGATCCAGCCCGGGGTCGTCACATGTGGTTACCGCAAGCCCGCCGGATGCTCCTTCGTCGAATCCGCCGCCTCTGCTCACTCTAGCTTACATGAGACAGGATACGGATTGTAAAGTTGTACTCTTTCTTTTAACTTACCTTCGGGTGTTTAGTCATGATTATGAACTGAAACTGGTATTAATGTGGAGGAGACGACCTGTTCACGTGCGCCTTGCAATGCCGTTTCTGTTGATCGAGGCGCTACAGGCATGTAGATGTGAGATGGCGCCGACGGTGATGGCTGCCTCCGTGGTTTATTTATTTTAATTTTTTATTATCTGTGTTTTTTGTTCTGTCACTGTCATTCTGTTACACTGTGGAAGCTTCTGTCATGAAAACAAATTCCTCGTATGTGTAAACATACCTGGCAATAAAGCTCATTCTGATTCTGATTCTGATACAGTGATCTGTCCCTCCACATTAAACAGCACCAAAACGGCATTTATTGTTTGAATACTGCAATACAATGGACAGAATTTGAAATCTGAGACTGTTTCATATTAAAAGCACGAAAGCACAATGCTTATTGCGATTTATTGAATGGGAAGTACCCTTCAATGTTCCATCCATTAACTAAAAACAGGCTAGACTAATCGATTCTTAGGATTTAAGAATTGATATCCTTCTGAAAAATGAGAACGGAGACGTCACGTCGGTGACCGACGAATTGGGATCTCGCTTCGAGAGACCAATCTACTTCAAGTGTAACTAAACGAGCCAATGCACATTGGCATGCAATTATTGCATCCAGCTGCCGCTGATCACAGTGTGAGCATAAAAAGGCAGCCGGTGCAATGCATATCAGCTTTTCGCTGAGGAGCTGAGCCGGTGACCCGGCCGCTCAGTGGTGGTACAGCAACCGTGGCGACGGGACGTGACGTCTCCGTTCCCTCCTTCAGGGAACGAGGGTTACATATGTAACCGAGACGTTCCCTTTCAGTCGGTCACTACGAGTCACATCGGTGACCGACGAATTGGGATCCCTACCAAAACGCCATGGATGCTGCCCCTTCCAGTGTCCTGTGCGAGCCGCCTGCGCCCCTTTGTGGTGTAGGCCGGGGCTCGCAACAAGAAGACCAGTCACTGTTGTCATAGCACTACCCACTCAGTGAGATTGGATAACACTGGGAAAACGTACCCG